AAGTAGAAATTGACCCTAAGGACAAGGAGAAAACTGCGTTCTCGACGGGAAAGGGTCTGTGGCAATTTAAAATAATGCGGTTCGGGTTGTGCAATGCTCCAGCAACGTTTGAAAGGCTGATGGAACTTGTACTTACCGGGCTAATTGGCGATGCCTGTCTGGTCTACTTGGATGCCATCATCATCGTAGGCCGTACGTTTGAGGAACACCTTCAAAACCCCGGAATGCGTGATCATGTAGATTCAGAGTGCCCACCTCAAGTTGAGTCCGAAGAAATGTTCACTATTCAAACGGCAAGTTAACTTTTTGGGATATGTAGTATCGGAAGAGGGCATCCGCACAGATCCAGAGAAAATCGCCGCTGTCAAGGATTGGCCGGTTCCAAAAGACAAGACGCAGGTTAGATCATTTTTAGTTTGTGCTCCTATTACCGGCGGTTTGTGAAGAACTTTGCAGATATAGGCAAACCTCTGCATAAGCTAACCGAGGAGAAGCGACTTTTCCGCTGGGATGAAAGTTGCAATATCACATTCCAGGAGCTCAATAACCGTCTGTGCAAAACACCTATTTTGGGATACCCTGATGCAAGCAAAGAATTTACAGTTGACACAGACGCAAGTGATATAGGACTTGGCGGTTTATTGTCTCAACGGAATGGTGACCAAGAAGTCGTGATAGCGTACTTCAGCAAGTCGTTGTCAAAACCGGAAAGGAACTATTGTGTCACAAGACGCGAATTGCTAGCTGTGGTAAAGTCGTTGCAGCATTTCAGCAAATATCTTCTGGGACGAAAATTTCACTCACGAACTGACCATGCTGCACTAAAATGGCTATTGCAGTTTAAAAATCCAGAAGGACAAGTTGTGAGGTGGATTGAACTACTACAGGAATACGACTTTGAGATCGAACATCGCAGCGGGAAATCTCATTGCAACGCAGATGCATTGTCAAGAAGACCTTGTCCTGAAGATTGCAAACATTGTACTAGGCAAGAGAGTAAGGAAGTGGTATCCGTGAGGATGCTCAGGGCAGACCACCTCAGCAACGAGTGGAAGGACAGCTTACTACTTGCACAGCAGGAAGATCCGGACATCAAGCCGATTCTGGAATGGATAAAGGCCAGTGCTTCCAAGCCCAAGTGGAGCGACGTCTCAGCGATGAGTTCGACCACTAAAAGCTATTGGGCCCAGTGGGACAGCTTGCTGCTTCAGGATGGAGTTCTGTGTCGTAAATGGGAAAATGTTCGGGGAGACAGCGGTCATTTGCAAATGGTTGTCCCTAAAGCTAAAGTACCGGATGTTCTACAGCTATACCATAATGATTGTTCAAGAGACCATCTGGGAGTTAAACGAACTCTACTGAAGATCCGAGAACGGTTTTACTGGGTCCACTGTCGAAACGATGTCGAGGACTGGTTTCGCAATGTACAAGTTGTGCGGCTGTAAAGGGACCTCAGACTCGTAGTAGAGGTGCATTGAAGTTGTACAATGTTGGTGCACCATGGGAGAGAATAGCCATTGACGTGGCGGGCCCGTTTCCGGAGAGTGAAAGCAGTAACAAGTATTTCATGGTTGTGATGGATTACTTCACTAAGTGGCCAGAAGTCTTCGCCATTCCAAATCAAGAAGCTTCAACAGTTGCAGATAAACTAGTTCATGAAGTCTTCTGTCGTTTTGGAGTACCTTTAGAGATTCACAGCGATCAAGGAAGGAATTTTGAGTCTCAAATATTCCAGGAAATTTGACGAGTTATGGGTACTCATAAAACAAGAACGACTTCTTATCACCCGCAATCTGATGGAATGGTAGAACGATTTAATTAGACATTGGAGAGGTACCTAGCAAAAGTTGTAGACAATCGGCAACGAGATTGGGACAACCACATACAACCGTTTTTGTTGTCATATCAAAGCGCTGTTCACGAAAGTACATCAGTGACACCAGCTTTCGCAAACTTTGGAAGAGAATTACGGCTGCCTGCGGACCTGATCACCGGGATACCACCTGATGCTCCACGCAGTATAACCGATTGTGCAAATGACTTGCGGAACGAAATGAATGACATTTATGAGCACGTCAGACAATCGGGCCAGCAAATGTCTGAAAAGATGAAAACCCGGTACGACCGCAAAATGAACAACAAAGGGTTCGACGAAGGTTCACTAGTGTGATTGCACAATCCAGTCCGCAGCAAAGGGAAATCTCCTAAGCTTCAAGCTAAATGGGACGGCCCGTACCGGATTGTGACCAGGATCAACGATGTAACCTACCGGATACAGAAAGGCGCAAGAGGGACTCCTAAGATCGTCCATGTGGATCGCCTGGCGCGTTATTATGGGGCCGATAATGCTCGGGACGAGCATGTCTTAGGAGGGGGCAGTGTTGCGCGGCTAAGTTGACATCTGGCACTAGCGCCATCTATTGTCGGGTAACAGAGCGAGGAGAGAGCTTTCCAGAAAATGACATCACTAATCTTTAACCGCCAGCGCCATCTAGTATCGAATTGAAGAACTAAGCTTTCTGGAAGCCCCACACTCGAACTTTCTGCGCTTGGTCAGTTGGCGCACGTATTTACTCGAATATTCTGGAATATTCTGGATGTTTTCGTGGAAGAGGCCTATATAAGGGCGCTGCAAGATGCAATCGGGGAAGTATTGAATTTGGCGAGACAAGCGAAGCTTTGGAGTGGAATAAAGTGAATCAGTGTGCTTAATTATTAGTGTTTTAAGTTTAAATTTGTGTAAAGAAAATTAAAGTGTTTATTTAGGTAATTTTATCGGCAATTTTTATTGTCACGAACCTGAAGCTCGTAACAATATTGAAAAAAAAAAGTTTCTATTTCTCTTTCTTTCATGCCCGAGAAAGGGCAAGATAGGAGATATTCGCTAAGTCGCAAATCTTAAATCAAAGCAACGAATCTCTCCTATCTTGCGAAGCGTACACCTGCGTGTTGGCAGACTTCACATTTTCTGGAAAAAAAATTTAAAGCTTACATATTCAGGATTCTTCACGGTGTTTTTATTCACTGCTGAGGACGTGATAAATCAGCACTTAAAATAGCAACCAACGATGCCGGAAGGGATTGAACTCGGTTTTCTCGTGTATAATAAAACGTACTTATTTTCTCAGTTACAGCAACTCTCTATTCTATTCTGAGTATATAATCAGTGCTAAGCAATGATATACTATAGATTATGTCTTTTTAAAGCTTTATATAATAAATACTTTATTACAATTCTCCCAAATTTTACACAAGAATGGTAAGCTTATAGTCATACAAAAAAGCGCAACCAAGTGTAGAGTCCATTCGTCTTTGGCCCGTACAATCCTCGATAAAGAATCAAAATGCAGATGCGGAGGGAAGACAATCCCCTGAAGACAATGATAAAATGCTTTGTTACAAGTAAAACGGGTCTTCAGTTCTTGTTACTAACTATATGAAACATAGCAGCATTTATCTACTATTTTAAGCTCACAAAAGTGAGAGACTGGTTCTTTTCTGCTTGATGTGATCTATGCAGCACACGTTATTTGGCTACAGTGTGGCTCTATAATATATAAACGTGTGAGAATTATGAAGGTAATTCCTATAATTACCTTGCATAATATATACCTTATTGTAAACGGAAAAAAGGAAAGTTTTTTTACTAAAATGGGAGGTTCAAAAGAGCACACAGTACACCTAATGGTTAGTGGATACTGTAGCTTGTAAACATCCACATTTATCCTCGATAAAAAATTAAAATACAAATGCGTTGTCAATAAAAAATCAAATACAAATATGTTCCAGTAAAAAGAGTATCCGGTTCTATACACTCACCATACGAAACAAAACAGCATTAAGTTGCTATTTTACGCTGGTAATCTGTGAGAGCGTGTTCCTACTCTGGTCGAGCCGACTCATTCTTAATACCAACCATACTATAGCTGCAGCGCGGCTCTTGACGTACAAAAGATAGAAATGAGATATTGCTCTAGGCCCTCGTATTGCTTTCTTATTTTAAAGACGTATGTCTTACCCTAAACATTCATTATTCCGCTTCTTTACGGCAAAATTTTCCCACTTAATTTATATATATATATATATATATATATATATATATATATATATATATATATATGTATATATATATGTATATGTATATACACACAATATGTAACGTAATTAACGTACACCCTCAGATACCCCAATTAGTATAATTAAACATTTTTATGCACTGATTATTTATCAAATTAGTTATACTAATTCCGGAAGAATGTTGTGGTCACAGTACAAATCCACGAACGCAAAGACTTTAACGTGCTTGAAATAAAGTTTATTTTTCTTTATTTTTATTGAATGACAGAATTAGTAATAATACAAATAAAACTGCACTCTTAAAAGTCTTATTGCCTTAAGTTACGGTCCATTTCAGTTTGTTTTGACTGTATAGATTTAGTGTGACTGTAATTTAATGTAGTTTTAATTATTTTTGGGATAAAAAATTACCTTTATTAAAAATGATAGAAATCGATTCAGTAAACGATTCTGAAAAAACTACTTTCTCAAAGCGCGTTAATTATGTTACATGTTGTATATATATTTATTTTTTTCAGATAGTTTTACTAACATAGACTTAATTTATGAACTAGAGTCGTAGCGAGTAGGAGATTTTATGAATGCCATAGTTGTCAACGTTTTAAATGCATCGCACGTTCCAAACAAGGTTAGATCTCGGCGTTTAATGAAGAAAAGCCCATACAATTTGACTGCTATGTAAGACTTAATATTTACACTGATTAAATGTCTTACAAGTGATCTATATAATGAAAATATTTTGTTTATAAGACGAGACATATAAGTATCACAAGTGGTTCGCGTAACCCGGCACTTTCTTCAATTAGCCACAAAGTATTGTGCTCACGTCCAGCGTTACGCAGTGAACGATATATAACGCCGTCGCGTCCTGGGACAGCCACAGTTCACTTCTGCACTGCTCATCCAACCCCAAGCAAACAAACATGGACTCCAAGGTACGTTAATAATATTGACTTTTGACCCTTGTAGCACAAACAATTTAAAAAAAACTAGCATAAATCTATATCCAACTAGTTTCAACAGTCGTAACTTTGGCCTAAATTTTAAATTGTGTTAAAATTATAACTGCTCTGAATTTGTTATGAGGAATAATAGCTTAAAAACCTTTTTAGTTCAAAATTATAATGATAACCATTCTAGCATATAAAGCTCTTATTTCATAATTTTTTTCTCAATTATCCAAAATTAGGTTTCAGAATTAGCTTTCAATTGTTTGTTTATTTTATAGTTATACAAAAATTTTAATATTTCTTCCTAAAAGCAGTAATAATTAAACCGCTTTGCATTCATTAAAAGCTTGACTTGCTAAAGTTCACGCCAATACTCGAAATTCATTATAATTAATTATTATATAGCATTGCACTTGTGATACTATTGCTACTAACTCAATGATAAAAGTTTTGTGTCATAGAAATGTGTTATCGTGCAATCATTTTCGTACACAAGTACATTGTGGACGTGCAAGACATGATAACATCGAGTCGCTTGGTGCGTGACACTAGATTGACTAACATCCCATACCGGGATGCTTTACGACACCGTCTTTCCAACACTTTCGTTTCGATCTGAGTCAGGAATATGACAATTGGACGACGTTCAGCTTTTGGATATTTGAAAGGTGTTCATTACTATAAAAGACCGTAATTATGTCGTATGTTTTCGGTGAAACTCTTAAACGTTTTTGTTTAAAACTTACTGAAATGTTTTACAAAGTAATCACAATAACGAAGGTGAATAATGACTAATCGGCATTAAGTACAAAAATAAATATTATTGAGGTTGGATAATGTTAGCTGTACGTCCGTCCTGTGTTCTAGTACAAACGATTTAAACGCAGTCCATTATTAAGTCATTTTAAATTATATTAGTTATTTCATTAGTAAAGCTTGTTCAATAAGCTAAATATAATTTATAGTTTCAGTAGCATTTAATTTAGAAAATAAATAATTAAAGAGCCGAAGCGTCCCAATAAAATTATTTACGAGTATAATGAAATTGATAAATGTAATTTATAATTGTTACAGAAATATAATTGATAATAAACGCTTACGACCTAAAATTTTACAAGATGTTAACTCATTTTAATATTACTTGTACTAAAAGTTAATAAAGTTGATATGTGTACCGTTTTTCTGCCACCTTTAAAGTAAGACGATAACGTAAAACACATCCGTATTAAAATAAAAAAGTGAAGTTACAGCTTTTATTACTCCATCTTATTCCTAGGCACTGACCTCCTCTCACTTCTGAGAGGTTTTATTTTACGCAAGGAAATGTCCCCTCATACTCCAATCTTGTTCATTAAAAAAGTTAATAAAGTTGATATGTTTTTCACTAAAGTAAAAAAAAAAAAAGGAAGTACAGCTTTTATTACTCCATTTTATTCCTAGGCACTGAACTCCTCTCACTTCTGAGAGGTTTTAATTTTACGGCAAAGAAGTGTCCACCTCACTACTCCAATGCTTGTTTGCGGACGTCCTGTCTTCGAAATAACTTATTTTAATTTCTCAGACTTGCAGATTTTCCCACTGTATTATCCTTCACCGTTGAACACGTGGTAAATCAGCACTTAAAATGCAATTAACAATTTTAGTTTATTTGGTGTGGATCGAATTCGGGTTGCTAGCTTACTAGAAAATTTACAGTTTGATTTACATTAAATCAATAATAAATCATTTTTAACCGATGAGATACGCATCATTAAGGTCAGTTTTGAAACTAGACTGTGGCTTTATTGATAAGATCTTTTATCAATTTAACATTCCATTTGCAAGCAGTTACGATAAGTGACCCTTTCTTTTCGAACATCAATGTGTCGCAAGTTGGACATATTCGGCTTGCTAATACAGGTCGCGCATATCAATGCACTTGGTTGTAGACCACTCTGTGTCAATTGATATTACGCAATTTAAAGATATGTAGTAAGTAAAAAAATAAAGTCAGAGTATATTGAATTAAAAAATTAAATTGTGTGTGTAAAGTGAAGGATATTAAGTATATGAAATTGTGATCTTCAGTTAGACTAGTAACCTGCGCCTGCTGCGCCTAGTTAGCATCCAATAATGAGGTGTTATATAATCATAGCAGGCCATTTATTTTATAAAATTTTCGATTTCACACAAAATCTTTAAATTTTTCGGATATAATATCTTAATATATATAAATTACGTGTCACGTTGTTTGTCCGCGATGGACTCCTAAATTACTCAATCGATTTTAGTCAAATTTGCACACCGTGTGCAGTTTGGTCCAACTTGAGAGATAGGATAGTGTTTTGCCCATGAGTTACCCACAATTTTTTTTCGAATTTAAAGATTTTTAATAAGACATGACAAAGGGTCGTCGAAAAGGGTAGAACAAAATCTGCCTGGCAAGCTAGTGTAAGTATATAAAAAAAGTTATGTGTTTGAAACACTGAGGCCAAAATAGATCCAAAACACATATTCCTGTTGTAATTGTTGGAGTTGCCTTAACATAAGCTGAATTGAATGCGATCGAAACTAAACAGCAGTGGATGCCTAAAAAAAAGAAAAATGTACCTTTTATGCCCTATGATATAATATATGGCATGCTTATGAATGAAACATATATAAAAAAACTTAAGTTCTTGCCTTACATTACATTATAACACTTTATCTTTACACGATATTCGTTAACATACGAGTATAAAAGTATAAAAGGCAAATTGATAAAATATTGTAATGTAAACATTAATTTAATCTAAATAACAACATTTTTTTTTCCAGATTGTAATATTCATCTGTATGTTCGGCGTGGCCTGCGCTAGCGTCCTGGCCCCAGCCCCTGTCGTCGCCGCTCGCGTCGACGCCTTACCACAATACTCCTATGGTTATGACGTGCAGGATTCCCTTACCGGTGACTACAAAGGTCACCAGGAGAACAGAAATGGTGACTTAGTCACCGGTTCTTACTCAGTAGTTGATCCTGATGGCACTAGAAGGATCGTGGACTATTCCGCTGACTCGCTGAACGGTTTTAACGCGGTCGTCCGCCGTGAACCTCTTGTGGTTACCGCTCCCGCAAGGGTGGTCGCCCCCGCTCCGTTAGCGCCAGCTCCGGTGTTCGCTCGCGCTCCCTTGGTGGCGGCTGGCCCTGCGCCTTTATTAGCACCTAGATTACCCAGCCCCTACTACTATTACTAGATGAATCATTACAATTTTGTTGTGTTATTATGTTTACTAAGGCTTTTTATATAACTGTTATTTATGAATATAATATAATGAATTGAATTGAAAATTTACTTTATTATTACCTTAAATTTATATAACTAGTGAACGTTATACTGTGGTTGGTTCAAGACTAACATATATAACATAAACACTCACGCCTGTCACCCAGAGGGGTAGGCAGAGACTACAGATTTCCATTTAGCACGATCCTGACATACCTCTCTCGCCTCTTCCACATCCATATACCTACGCATACATGCTCGTCGGTTAAGGGTACTCTTAATTTGGCCCATTTTTAGTATATCGCCAATTTGGTTCAAGACTAGTGAGTCTATTAAACTATAAAAAACCAACTAACGTTGCATGTAACATAGCTTTCCATAATTCGACGAAAATACATAAAATACAAGTGGTTTAAAAGAAAGTGTGCATCCTGTATGCGATTTACATACACAAATTGCGCAATATGTTTTGCAACCGCGAACAAACGCTTATGCCAAGTTTCTGTATTTAAAAACGCTTCGTTTTATTTTACGAGCCATTTCGTAATAAATAATGTAATCTTTTTAAAACAAAATACCAGTTCAACTACTCGTATTTATGAACCGTTTAAAGATTTTCCATTTTAAGTCACCTAAGATGCTTAATTAATAGTTTGTACTTATTATAAACTGTTATAACGTGCATCTCTTATGTAATAAAACGTTTCGTTATAGAGAACGAAAATTTTCTTGAATATAGGAATCTGGAATTAGCCACCGTGCTACGAAGCTTTCGTTTGTGTCTAAAAGAATATTATATAATCGGAACTCGATAGGTGGCGTAGTGGTTAAGTTATTAATAAATATTATCTAATTTACACATATACTATGCACAGAGTTGATTCGGAGTGAAACTTACAGACTTGTTGACCCGGCAGACGTTCTGTCCTTTTCGGTATACAAAATTTATTAATAACTAGATTTTTATCATTAAATCAACATACATTGTGAATATCAATAATTATGACCCATATATAATAATAATATCCTCCAGACCGAATTTTGGTCACGGCGGCAAGCCTCATCGGCGCAGGACAGGTTTATAGTGCCCAAGTATATGCGCAAGGACAGGTGCACTCTCTATTTCCTTACACTCATAGTTCGATGTAATGGTAAACGGACATGACTGGAGAGAGATCAGTAGCAAGATCAACGGCTTTACGTGATTTTTGAGGTCTCATAGCTCTTTTTTATATGATAAGGGTGACAAACGAGAACACAGTCCACCTAATGGTAAGTGGTTGCTGTGGCCCATAGACACCTACATCTATCCTCGATTACGAATCAAAATGCAGATGCGTTGTCACCCAAGAGGACTAAGATGGAATGCCTCTTTTCCAGTAAAGCGGGTCTCCGGTTCTCTACACTCACCATACGAAACACAGCAGCGTTTAGCTGCTATTTTACGCTAGTGTTCTGTGAGAGCGTGGTCCTACTCCGGTTGAGCCGACCCATTCGTGCTACAACTATACTACTAATATAGCTGCAACATGGCTCTACCACGTAAAAAATCTTCCGGTGAGACACAGCCAACTCCCTGATTCCGGGCAGCTACTGAGAATTTCTTGACGGAAAAACTCAGTAGTTGATTTTTTTTGGCCCGACCCAGCATTCGAACCCGTTCCGGGTTCTCATGATTAGCAGTCATTTACACCAAGACCAATAAGGCAGTCAAGACTAGCCACCATCATGCACCCTCAAATTAATGATCGCAAAAAAATGTGCACATTTTTTCCAGACGGTAAAAAATCATCCATTATATAAAGATACATTTTAATTGGTATACGTATGAGCGTTCAGGCTGCTTGCGTAAAATGCTCTGCCATATTATACAGTTTCATGTTGGTAGGTACGTCAAATTTAAATGAAGAAGAACATCCGCCAAGGATGATCCTTGCTCGAGATGCTCTATGGCAACAGTGACGAAAGAAACGGTTAAAAAAGTCAAAAACATTGTTTTGACAGTCGGATCATTTTATTGCTGAAGAAACAAAGATTTGGTCGGGAAGTGTGCATACATTTTTGCATGAAAACTTGGTGATGAAGAAATATTCACACGTTGAGTAGTGTAGTAGTGTAGTCCGAATATTACCCGAGGCTTTTTGGAACTGATACAAGGTCCTTATTGATTTTTGGTTCGATTTAAAACAGTCAGTGGCTTCAACATTATTATTCCAAAACAAATAGACAGTCTATAACTTTAAAAGGACCATCATTTCCAACTTATAAATAATTTAAGGCCAGTAAGATATTGCAAGAGCTCTCTTTTCTGGAATAGTCAAGGGATAGTAATGACTGAATATCTTGATATTGGAACTGCTGTTACGGGAAATTTCTGTGATAAACGAATAAAAAAGGCAAACTCATAAAGATTCTTTTGGTTCACCCCCCCCCAGAAACGATTTTGAGATGAAACTAAAATTTAATAACGTTCGCCCAGAGATCCGCCATTGAAATACTTGACTATCCTTATTCACCAGTCCTTGCTTCTAGTGATTTCTATCAATTTCTAAAGTTGTAGAAAGATCTGCGAGGACAGATATTTGTAGTCGATGAAGCAGTAGTCGCTGCAATACAGGAATTTATAGGTGGTTAGGTAGGATGAAAAGTTCTTAAAGAACGGATTATCAAGGTTAGAAAAAAGACAATTAAGTGGATTACACTAACTAGTGAATATGTCGAAAAATAAAAAAATAAAAACATTTAATAAAATCGATTTAATTATAAATTTTATTAAATTTGTTTTATTAATATATTCGTCCATTTTTATTGAATGCCCCGACTAGTTATTTAACGTACTTTGGCGGCTCGACGTGTTTCCAACATTATCACAGTTGATGAATCTTAGATCTATCAATATGATCCGGAAACGCAACAATCGTACAAGCACTGGGAGTCGCAGGCTACCGCTTCACCAGTACCCATGCACTTAGCGTTCTAACCGAGGGACTTCCTGGACATCACTCCGGTTGAGTTTTGGGTCTGACTGAACATTGTGACTGGTATATAGTCCGCTTTTGTTACTTCTTTTTCTTCTTTTTCGTTTGAAAATAAATGGATAAAAATCAATATTATTATGAGGAATAAGATTCTTTCGTCCTTTTAATAAATTAAACATTGACAAGCGATGTTCGATGGTAACAGCAAGCATATAATAGTTACCTCGTGATTTATGTGTTGTCAAATCGTTACATATTCTCACTTAAGACTTAAGAGTCATTAAATCGATTCTAAATTCCAATATTATATGAACGTAGTAATTTCATTATTTTTGTAAAAGATTAGTAATAAAATGGATTTTTAAAGAGAAACAATATGCCTTGATTTTATTTCATCAATGTAATCAGTAAAGGAATATTATTAATCGATAGGGGTCATAATATAATATAGAGAATAAGATTTATTTATCTTTGTTAAATTTTAGGTCCTTATTTAAAGAATCGTCCTAAAAAAGAAAGAAACCTTATTCCTTGCTCCAAAAAAATACATAGATAGACGTGAAATAAATATTTACATAAAAATGTGACGAAAATAAACATGCCTTTTCGTTATTATATGCTTAAAAAACTACAAAATGTTTTTTAAATATTTAGTAGGTATGTCTATTACTTTGTTAGACGAGTTTAATATATTGTTGTATTTTATAACGAAAATCGATCGAAACGGAGATAATTGTTTTTATGATTTTCTATCTTTATGTACGCCTGAATAATAAACAAATTGTACATAAGAGAGGATGAATTCTCGCCGTCTCAGTTTCTTGATTTTAAACAGGAGATGACTAGACTCATTACGTCATTTATTAGTGAGCAAAAAAACTCACATTTGGAAATCACGAACACACTTAAGTCCCTCCAACAAACTTCTTCAAACATTGAACAGTGCGTATCTCTCTTAACTCTGCAAAATGAGGAATTCCAAAAGAAAATTGAGAAACTGGAAGCTCAAGCAAAAAAGGATCGCGAGTACATAAATATACTTGAAGACAAAATTGAAGATCTCCAAAGGACGTCACGCAAAGCTAGTCTAGAGCTAAAGAATGTTCCACGTAAACCCTCTGAGACCAGGGATGATTTAATAAATATGATAACTTCCCTATCGAAAAATATCAACCTTGATTTGTGTGCGCGGGATATTAAGGATATTTTCAGAATTAGACCACGTAATGACAGGGAGAAAAATTCCCCCATAATACTGGAACTAGGATCCACGATCTTGAAATCCGAAATACTAAAAAAGTCTAAGGAGTTCTACAACAAAAATAAGTGCAGATTACAAGCAAAACACCTAGGCATTACTTCGAGCGAGCACACGCCTGTTTATGTATCAGAGCAGCTCACCGCTAAGGGTGCCCGACTATTCTTCCTGTCTCGGGATCTCGCCAAATCCAATGGGTATAGATACTGCTGGACTGCGTTTGGAAAAGTTTTTGTGAGAAAAGATGATACATCTAAGATTATATGCATCCAGAGCGAGGCACAGGTGCACCAACTTCTTCAACAAAAATGACTATATTCAAACGATCCAGTGGCGACTTCTCTCTGCTTTATTCAATATGCATATTATTATATTGTTCTTGGTAAGATAACCGTTGTAAACTGTTCATCTCTTGTTAGCGCAACTTTCATTTGCACACATATACCTCTGGTCTCAAAAACTGTAAAAATACAACAACCAAATACACCTATATACAATACCACACACTCACACTTCATAAACACGTTATTTACACATTTACAAAAAACTACACCCACAGTACAAACACATAACATACTACAACAACCATTCACTCTTACATCCTACAATGTTAACAACCTACTCATATTGATGAAATCTACCTATTCTCGTGCCTACTTGCAAGTGTTATTAACAAGCTTTTCTTCACTCACTCTATTTATTAACCTCTGCAGTAACTTACTCGGTACTTACTCT